ATCACAGCTGTGATAAATCCCTACACTTCGGTGCATGAAGAGGAAGAGGTGAGACATTAAATGTGCAGTTGTGTTATCCCTTGTTCATTTTGTTTTTTTATTTAATATTATATAGTAGATTGCTTACTCAAGTACGTTTTATTAGTCTGTAATTGATTTTCACGAGGCATGGAAATTTTAGATCAGTGGCTGCCTGTAAAAGCAGAAAGAAAATAATATTGCCATTCCCTAGAGCCATGCATACAGCAGATGTCCATTCCATGCAGGAGTTTGAAGCCTGTGAACTCCTTACACAGCTGAAGCTGTTTCAACATTAACCTATGAACAGATTTGTACAAAAAAAAGTTTTATTTTTAACGCAGCAGCCACTGAATTCGATCCAGTATGCAGAACAAAGCAAAACCAGGGCACCTTTCATCAACAAAAGAATTCAACAGAATCCATCAATAACACCAAAAACCATACAGAGATGAGTGAGTACTTTGCACTCAGATGTCTCTGTGGTGCCATTACAGTGATGGTTACCTCGGGTACACCCAGCTTTGAGGCAGCTGGAAAACTTCCATCACAGTACGTATGTGACTTTTCTAAGAGCTTGCGAGAAAATTCAGCTCTAGGTGTGCTGTTTTCTAACTAATTTCGACCCCTCAGCCTCCTTGTGGAGGAGAACTAGAGCAAAGGGGGTAAACCTATGATGATCAATATTGCCTTACATTATTGCTAATCAATCTGCTTGTTGCCCCACTTCCCCTCTTTTTCCTGTTCTCACTTTCCACCCTGGTTCAGCTCGACTATGATTAACGTGACCGCACGCAACAAAATGTATATGGATGGTTCTTTGTCACATGCACACAATAACATGTGTGCGCACACACACACACACACACACACACACACACACACACCATAAGGCGCCCTGTCAGGTATTGAATAGTCAATGCTGCAGAGCAGAGAAGAAGCCTTGGTTATTCATGTGTGATATCACTGCTGCAGAGGACCCAGTTGGCTCCCAGAGAGCTACATCAATGTGTGTGTGTGTGTGTGTGTGTGTGTGTGTGTGCTGTGTGAGAGGGGGGGGGAGAGAGAGAGAGAGAGAAGGGAGAGACAGAAACAGAGAATGTATGTGTTATAGGAATGATTGCATGTGTGTAAGAGAAAGACTGTGCGTGTATGTGTGTACACCTGTCAGTTTGAGCAAATTCACTCACCTGTGACGTCCTCATTCTGTCTCTCTGTAAGCCGTCACTGAGAGTGCTCCTCTCAAAGGCCCAGGCAACACACACACACACACATATATACAGTCATATCAGCCATGGGCAGGTGTGGAGATCACTGACTTCTGAAGAGGATTTCACCTATGGGTGTTTGAATGTGTGCCATGTATTTTCATCCTGAGTAATGAATGCTTCTCCCTCTCTCTCTCAGTCTCGCGTGTGTGTGTGTGCACGTCAGAGAGAGAAAAAGGCGAGGAACAGAAAAAGGGTGGAGGGAGAGTGACACAAAAAAGAAAGTGTGAGAGGGAGGAAAAAATGAGCTGCATGTGGAGCTCTGTGTTTGTCTTTTGCTTCAGAGTTGTGCCTTTTTTATCAGTGACTCTTCAGTTTTTCTGGGACATCACAGGCCAAGCTTTGTAGGAGTGACAGTGACGATGAATCCTGCAGGACACAACTGGAGACGCTGAGCTCATGTAGTAAAGCTGCATTCTTCCATCTAGTGGCCACATATGTACACACACTCAGACTCAACCCACTTGTGGATGTATGCGGCTACAGTCAGAACCACATAAACACCGGTGACTGGTTGCTGTCAGGGCTGGTTGATATACTTGAAATCAATATCATGATGTTAAAAATAATACTTTTTCCAATAACTAATTTAGCTCTTTTTTCAATCACAAGTTGCTTGGCAACATAATTGATGGAGCCTACACATTTATGACAGAAAGCCAGAGTTTCAAACTTGAGGTGTAGAGTTTGAAATATGGGAACATTTACCAGGCATTGGAGGGCCTAACAAAAGATGCTGTCAGGCTGCATCATGGGAAGTGTAGGATCATGGAGGCTAAAAGTCAGGATATCTTGGCCACTGCTGCCAGTTCCCCGACTTTATGGAAGTACACTGCTACATTGCTGGATTAACCCTTTAAATTTAAGTTTTATATCACCTAATCCCTGCTGAAGCATTCACAGTTATGAGCTGCCTCTTGAAAGATGTATTGCTATCAGGTAAGTAAAACTACAAAATTCTGTGTTTTTTAAATCATGTCTTATAAATCTGAGTAAACAACTTTTTGGTGCCTATGGATGTTTAGTGCTTTGTGAAGCAAGACACTTTTGTATTAATGTATCAAGAGGATTTTTTTTATAATAAATATCAAGCTTTTAATCAAATATATTTATCCCTTGAAGCTCAGATATTAATCAGGCTGATTTGATGTATACACACAGCAGTGGGCAAGGCTTAATGTCAATAGAAATGTTGAGAATATAGGAACTCTGCAGACTGTCAGTAATCCCTAGGCTCCCCTGGGCAACATCAGCAAGAATGACATCTAAATCAACTTGTCTTGTTCAATAAGAGTTAACAAAGTCCAAACATTTTAATTAGACATCACAATTCATCCTTTTATCAGCATCCTGAGTGAACTCCTGGCCTTTTGATTGGTTGTCAACACCCTCCTCAGGGACACTAACGCCCTGGCAACAGACTCTTGCACTTTGAGGACAAATGTGATGCTGGGACCACCTCTCCACTGCCAAAACCCATTGCTCATCAGCTCTGTGTGTGTGTGTGTGTGTGTGTGTGTGTGTGTGTGTGTGTGTGTGTGTGGGAAACTTGTAGCTGTTTGGTGACATTATAAACCGGTCTAGGAAATTATCTGATTGCATCTGTATTCTTAATATTTGTCTTGTCATGTATTTCAATGAATAATTCAAATGTACTCAAAAATGTGTGTGCGTGCAGCTGCGGGTGTTTGTGTGTGTGTGTGTGTGTGTGTGTGTGTGTGTGTGTGTGTGTGTGTGTGTGTGTGTGTGGACTGTGACCACAGTGAACATCACTTCTTATGATGGTCTGAGTGAAGAACGCAGCTGCCACTTCACACTGCAATTATGCCATTACAGAGTTGACGATTGCCCTGCATGCATCACTGTGACCACACACACACACACACACACACACACTGTAATCACATGACCACACATGTAAATGTATGCACCCTCAGTAATGCTCAGACATATCACATAATGGACAGTATTTCAGATGTTCAAATTCTTTTGAACTTTAATTCTGGAAATAAACATAATCTAGAGTAAACAAGTCTGCTCCACAGACACAGACATAGCAATCCTATACATAGATACCTATATCCTGTATTTGCGGAGCTCCCAGTCTTCTACGGTACAAATAGAAGCAGAGGCATAACTAGAAAATGTTGTATCATCCTTAGTTTTATTTTTATTTCATTTTTATTTTTATTTTTTATTTTATTGGTTACTTATAACACCCTGAAGGCTTTGCCTGTAATTCTCAACTCTGCCCAAGGACACTGTCATGTCAACCAATTAATGAACCACTATGGACTTAAAGTGTGAAAACAGAAAGTAGGTGGCCACACAGGTCACCACTGTCACACACACACACACACCTAGAGCTGTCTTCTTTTTTTCTTTGTTGGACTCCTTTGCCTTTTATCAGCTCATCCTGCTGCTGCTGCTGCTGCTGCTGCTGCTGCTGCTGCTTCTTCTCCTGCTATTTGGCACGATGGCCGGCTTACAGGTGAGAGATGGAAACTGGCTGCTTCATTAGAAGAGGTCTGCTCTAATAAATGATTCAGTGTGTCGGTGGACTGCTGCTAGGTACTTATAATTGTGTATTTCAGATATTTGGAGGCCAACAGTATTATTGCCACAATTAATATTTATATAAGCACATAGCTCATTAACTCAATTAGATCTTTAAATCTGTCATATTCTGTCACATTCCTTTATAAACAGTCCTTGTTATATGTGGCAGTTATGCCCACACATGCATTCATGATTTATTTTCTTTTTCAAGTCATACTGGGAAAAGGTTGGAGTACTATGGAAGCCCATTTCCGCCAGGAAAAAAAAAAAGACAAAACTTAGACTTGATAATAAAAATATCCTAGAAAGGATGTAGATAAAAAGTGTGCATGCGCCTCAATGGCAGTTGGCAATATAGCAATATAATATAACATTGATCTCTATGTACACCCGGCTATGAGACGAGTGTGCAGGGACCGTCAACAATTTTCAATATCAATGTTATTCAAGCAGTGCAGAGGACGGCTTGTTTTGATGAAAATGAGGTTGTAGCTCGTTGTGTGCTTTACTACGATTGGAAAGAGGCATCCGCTGTGTTTTAAAAACGTACTGATTATGAGTTATTGATGCGGGAAGTGCTAATCTGTGACTATATTGCCAACTGCCATTGAGGCGCATGCACACTTTTTATCTCATAATTATGACTTTTGTATCTCATAATTTCAATTTATTATCTCATAATTTCGACTAACTTTGAAGATATTTTTATTATCAAGGCTAAGTCTTATCTGTCTTTTTTTTTTTCCTGGTGGAAATGGGCTTCCATAGAGTACAGGGGATCAACTGGAATAATTCAAATGGATATACAATTACACAACAGCTAACAAAATAAACAACACATACCTTCTACACATAATAATAAACATGACTTCCTATTTCGTTTTTTTATATTGTAATATTATATTGTGCACATGTTGTGTCTTTAGCTGTTATCTAATGTGATCAAGTTCTTTTTGCCAAACAGATCATCTTATTTTTACTATTAACAATTCAGATTTGGGTTTTTCTTCATATAGTCTATTTATTTATTATAATAAAGACAACATACATGTACCAAAAGGAGCACATAAACGGTAGTCACACATTCAGACTGGACATTACACGCTGGCTACGAGCGACGTCAGCGCGCTCTTCACGTCCTGGTCTCGGGTGACGTCATCGCGCATCGTTTCCAAACAATACTCAGGAAAAAGCCACGTTGACGATCCAGACAGAAGTGTAGTCCACAATTTCGGGAAGAATAAGGCAGCAAATTATTTGTCAGACGCTCTGGTTGCTTCCCGCCGCTGACTCAGGATCAGAGCAGACATGTCGTCGCCGCCGAAGGAGAAAGTGGAAACCAAAGGAGGACATCTCCCTGCAGGTAAAGCTGCTCGGGCTACTGTGTTGTTGTTTTTTTTCCCAAAGCTTCCTATCAACACGAAGGCCTTTGTTTCTGCAGTGTCTCCAACCAATAATCACATGATGATGATTAATAATTATGCAATCGGCACGCTTTGCAGATGCCACCGACTTACGGCGTTATTTCTACATATGGCCATATTTCTCAATTTCGAACGTATCCTCACTTCCTGATTGACGTGGGAGATCTTGCTACCTCCTTAAACCTGCTCATAATGTAGCGATTGGCGGTTATCGCCGTACACTGTACAGATTTCGGTTACAATGTTGCGGCTTGTTGCTTGCTGGATGTCGCTGACGTGGAGGTCACAGGCTCCAGGCTGGTTGGATGGAGGTCGGAGCAAAACAGATAAGGTGTACGTGGACATGTGGAGCAGTGTGGCAGGGCACTGGGCCTCAGCAGCTGCAGGACTGATAGCACAGTAAGATAACAGATGCCCCTCGCACCCAACCTGTGATTAGTGGGAGGCCCACAGTGCATGAAGCCTGTCAGTCTTTCACAAACATGCAGGTGTGTTAATGTGTACGTGTGAGCACTGGAGACCTTTGACATTCTCATTTCTGTAAGCAGTTCCTCTGAAGTGAGGTCAAAGATCAAGGTCAGGAAGGGAGCAGCGGTCCTGCAGCTGTTAAGAATTAACTCTGTAGTTTAAAAAAAAATATTATGTCTAGGTCATACATTCTCCATAAGTTAATTATAAAGTTGAAACTCCTAACTATGACTTTCCTTAACTATTCAAATGCAATATAGCTCAAATGTTTTATATCACCATCCAGGGTCTTTGTATTTTCTCACTGTTTCAATCTGAGTTTATACACTGATCATTTGTATGTGTGTGTGTGTGTGTTCTTTGCAGTAAAGGCAGGAGGTATGAGGATAGTACAGAAGCACCAGGCTGCTGCTACTCCGGAGCCACCGCAGAAAGATGATGATGAAGAGGAGTACGTCAGCAGCAGGTACCACAGACCACAGAGTCATGGAAGGATTGCTGAATGGGCCCACTGGGCACGGCCACAGGAGCCTAAAGTGTGACCGTTAACATTTCTTGTTGGAAAGTCAATCAAAGGACTACAGAGAGGCACAAAATGACTACAAAGAGATGTAAAATGACTGCATTGACGTGGCTGCAACATTAATAGTCTTTTTGTGTCTCTTTGACTCTGACTGTCTTGTTCTTTTATGTAGCAGAGGTGGGTGGGGGGGTTGATATGATATATCTGTTCATACACACACAAGTAGATACATACATTTACTGGAGAAGTGGTTCAGTACTATCTGTAGTTCTATTGAGAGACCTTCTGTGCAGCGTACAACTCTGCTGTGATTTGTACGTTGGTAATCACACCCACACACACCCTGCAAATTGCAACTAAGCAATTTAGCTGCTTCCACTTTTTCTATAAGGCTATACTGTAGGCAGTTTTTGCAGCAGACTTGTTGTGTACTCTTGCCAGCTAATTCGGTAAACAACATAATTACTGCGTAATTACAGCATTAACTTGAACAGCCCATTCAGCAGTCGCTATTGTTCGCTATAAGCAGCCTTGGTTTGCATGTTTTACATCACACTGGCTCTATTTTCCGAGCGACAGTAATTGTTCTGTTTCCATATTAGCATGTTTTGGCTTTTGCTGCCTGAATGCATTGATTTTACCGAGCCATGGAGGCAGCGCAAGTTGCAAGTTTTGTATTTTCGGCCTAATTGTGTGTCCGCTTCCACACCCACATATGCCTCAATATTCATGAGGACTCGTCAGCTATGTGCATATCGGTACAGGTGGCGCATTCACATCACATATCAGTTGGAGTGTGTGTTAATGAGAGGTGATAAATGAGAACCGACAAGCAGTGAGCAGGGTTCAAGAACATTGCCAACTGTGAAGAAATTGTGTGTGCTTGTTCTCTATACACACACACACACACACACACACACACACACACACACACACAATTATATATTGCATGTTCTTCATCCACCTTGTTGTTTGAATATTTTCCTGTAATTCAGAGCAGGAATAGTCACTGCCAGTGGCTATAAGTCATTTTTCTTTTGCTTTCCTTGCCTTTGTGACAAGATGAGTGGCAATAATAGGCACAGCATTAAAGTGAAAAGTGAGGTCAAGTAGATAACAGAAGTACAAAAAAACCCCAAAAAAACATGCAAGCTTGGTTTATACTTCTCAAGGGTAAAGGCCTTCTTAAGAAAGAACACGCCAGACCAGACTCTTGTTAATGTCTTTTGTAGCAGAGACTGGTCAGGGTGTGACTGTCATTCCAGCCTTTTGAATGTGCACTTCCTCATTTTGTTACATTGCTTCAGAGGATATGGAGTCATATTGTATATCTGTAACTAACAGTTATTTTTATTATGAATTAATCTTCCAGTTGTTTACTCAAATAATAATTCAGTCTAGAAACTGTGGATTAAAAACGCCCGTCACAAGTTCCTGGAGTCCAAGGTGACATCTTTAAAATGTCTTGTTTTACCGACCAAAAGTCCCTGAAGAGAAACACAGCAAAACCTCAAATGTGAAAAGGAGCCAGGAAATGTTATTTTAGCCTCATATAATACCTCATTATGATATTATAAACTCATAACCACCCATGCAGTGAACATTTTGCAAAGAGCACAATCTTCACAAATCTGCATTCAGATTTCAGAGAAAGGTCACCATACTGTTTTTACAATGATATTATTTCCTTTATTAGTTGCAATATAGTCTTATTTAAAAGGACCAGTGTATAGGATTTAGTGGCATCCAGTGGGGTGGTTGCTGCAACCCAGCTGAACACGGAAAACATGCGAAAAACGCCAAATGCCCTATCTAGAGCATGGTGGGTCAACATGGCGGACTCCGTAAAGGAGGATCCGCTCCCTCTGTAGATAAAAACGTCTCATTGTAAGGTAATGAAAACACAACTATTGTTATTTTCAGGTGATTATACACTTATGAAAACATACTCACATACTACAACTAATATTGTATTCCATTTATACCAATAGATCCTCTTAAATCTTACGCACTGGTCCTTTTAAATATGTGATGGATGCCAGCTAAATGTCTGCTTGTGAATTAGGATTTTGTGGCTTGAAATATCTGTTTTCCCTCAATTGATAAAAAAAAATACAGGGGTTTAATAGTTGCTTTAGTATTTATGTCGCTCAGTTTTTCCCAAATATTTCCTTGTGGAGCGTGCCGTCAGAGGAGACAAATTATTGCTTTGACTGTGAAGATAAATTAGACAAATCACTGCATTTTAATCACTGAGAAAAACCATCTGAAATCAGGCTGTAGCTTGATGAACTGCTTTTGGCCTGACTGTGTAAACGCAGGTTTACCTTCCTCTTGTGAAATGTTTATCTTTAACTAAAAATGACCTGTCAGTGCATCCAAAAAGAGAGGCTTAGTAACTGCACTCCATCAGTAAATACAGTCAGTGAAACTCTCTCCCTCAGACACACACTCTGTGTCACGCTGATGGACGTCTAGCAGGTGGCGACTGGGTAAATTTCGCATTAGTAGCAGCCAGTGAAGCGTTGTAGTCAGGGGAACACCTGCCGTACCCAATCTAGCCGAGATGGACAGATGGGGCAAAGGGAGAGAGATAGGTGGCCAGGATTATGGCGAGGTGGAGACGGGAGGTTTTTTTATGGTATGGAAAGCGAGGGACTCCATGGTGATATGAAGATACAAAAGAGAAGGAGTAATGGAAGGAGAAGGGTGGGTAGGAGTGAGATACATGGAAGAAAGGGAGGCATAAGCAGAGCAGAGCCAGAGCAAACTGCTGACCCAAAAGAGGCTTCCTGCCCACAACTGTCAGGTGAATGTGTTTTTCAAATGCATCAGGAATAAATCTAGTGTTTCTTCTCCTGTGTTAAAATGTGATGTTCAGAGAGAGTTCGAGAATCACGAGCAGGAGAGAGGGAGGCATAGCAAAGGAAGTAAACAAATGAACATATGGTGATTTCATCTTGTGACGCATAGAGATGAATATATGGTCTATGAACTGCTCACGCGTCGTCTGCAAGGTGATCACAGGCCGCATGTCAGTTGCACTGTCACCTCTCCTACATATTTTGGTGAGAGGTGGATATGTTCCAGAGCCTCAGAAAAAAAAGAGTGGGTGGTGCTGCGTGTACGCTTGACTTAATCACTGCACACATACACAGTACGTAGGAACTGTTGTGACATGTGCAGTAAGCTGACAGCTCATGGTGAAAAGTTGAGAGAGTGACAGAGGGAGAGAGGGAGAGAGAGAGAGAGACAGGGGTGGGGGGGAAGGAGAGACAGGCAACAGGCATCAGTTTCTATGGCAACCACCACTTCACCCACGGCAACAAACTTCCTGCTCTGCTGAAGCACAGGAAGATGGGTGGAGTAGTAGTGGTGGTGGTGGTGGGGCGGTGGTGTGACTTCAGAGCCGTAGACGGAGAAGAAAACACCACACAAACTCGCTACAGCTAATTTCACTCTTGGAGTTATTAGTTCAATTTTGCATTCTGTATCTCCCCCTTTGTCTTTTTTTCCACCCCCTTCCTCGATCTCCTTTCCTCTAACTCTTCTCCCTTCTCCTGGCATGAAGTGACTCCTCCCTGGGATTCCTTACAGCTCTCTACTGCCCCCTGCAGCCTCCCTCTGTCTCCATACACAGCCACCCTCCTCCCGGTCACACCAATCCACAGCAGAGATCTTTGTTACGTTAGTTTCTCTCTCTGAATGCGCTTCTCTGGGTGTCTCTTTCCATTTTACCA